ATTTACTGTACATGTAGTGAGGAGCTTGAACAGTAGTTTGTCTGTCTGTGGTAACAAAGTTGTTTGCCAACTATGCTGATATACTGACACACTTTCCAGTACAAGTAAGTATTATGTAATTATAATAAGTACATGTAGATGCACTTACTTGTTATTGTTTTTAGTCATTGTCACAGCTCTTGCTACTGATTCTTGTACATCAGTTGGTAATAATTTAATATCACCTAACACTTGTATGCACACACTATGATTATCAATTAGATCACTATAATTAAATAGTATCAAAAAATTCTTTCTTCCTCATGCTGTATAGAAAGTTTGAGCTGATTTTGACAATTATTTTTTGAGTTATGGCCATTTTAAGAAATCGGCCAATTCAGAAAAATATCCAAGGCTATAGCCCATGGTTCTTTCAAAAAATGGCTCCAAAATCACCCCAAATTTTTATTACATTTTCTGATACATATTAATGTCCTTATGCTGTGTAGAAAGTTTGAGTTGATTCCGACAAATATTTTTGAGTTATGGCCATTTTAAGAAATTGGCCAATTTTTAATAAATACCCAAGGCTATAAGCCCATGGTTTTTTTCAAAAAATGGCTTTGAAATCACCCCAAATTTTTATAAAATTTTCTGATACATATTGATGCCCTTATACTGTGTAGAAAGTTTGAGCTGATTCCGACAAATATTTTTTGAGTTATGGCCATTTTGAGAAATCGGCCAATTTTGAAAAATACCCAAGGTTATAGCCCATGGTTTTTCCTTAAAAATGGCTCCAAAATCACCCCAAAATTTTATTACATTTTTTGGGATATATTGATGTACTAATGCTGTGTAGAAAGTTTGAGCAGTTTCAGACAAATATTTTTTGAGTTACAGGATTTTAAAAACTTTGCCAATCTCATAAAGACTTTGACCCAATTTTTGAACAACAGTAAAATTATTAAATTATTGTCTCCTACTTATAATACTATATCACTTACAATTACTCATAAGTCCAGAGCCTTCAGCCTGAACTTCAGCAGCCTATACTGAAAATAACATGATATCAACTCAGTATTACATTAACATTATATAAAAGGATCAGTAATTCTTAAATAAACTTACAATGGGGCCTTAGTTCATTATCCATGGACATAGAGCTTCCTAAATTTCCTTAAATGTATTTTTAATTTAGGCCACATTTACACGACTACATTTTTATCAAAAACTGAAATATTTTTGATTGGGTTTACACTGATATCAAATCCAGACAAAATAAAAACAAATACTAAAAGGAATAATTTTATAAACAAATGATTAATTCTAATGACAATGCAGCTGCTGGATTAGTGTAAACACCTGAAACAGGAATAACAAAAATGATGTGCTGAAGTTGTGTAAACATGACCTTATTTTAAGAATTATTTTTAATAACAGCATAGTACAGAGTATCATTAAAAATATAAACATATAATTATTTGTATTGTAAAAAATGTCAACAACTTTTAGTTCAATTTATTAGCTTACTAAATAATAACATTAACAACAACAGCAATGGTAATTAATATTAATAATAATAATAATAATAATAATAATAATAATAACAACAATAACAACAACAAAAACAATAATAATAACAACAATAATAATAACAAGGAAAGGAGAAGAAAGGATAGAAGGGAAAAGAAGAAAAAAATACAAAAAAGGAACAAAAATAAGCAAAACAAAAACAATAACTTATGAGAAGAAAAAAGAGTCAGGACAGGATAGCTTGGGAAGAGAACCATACCGCGTTGGCCCTTTGTACTGCCACAGAGAGTCGCTGCAGCAAATAGGAAAAGGAGGATACCTCACCAGTATGTTCTCTTATTCTGGTATCCAACTTTGTCAGAAAATTGAGGGACTTAGGACCAATGGCACCCAAGGTTTTTATTGCCACAGGGGTAAAGGAATATGAGCAATCCAGAGACTCATACTTTGCAAACTTCTTTTCCTCAAAGGCCTGGGCAACTGCTCCTGAAAAACTAACAGTAACCCTCTCATATAGAATGGAGCAAGAGTGTCTGGGCAGGTGGCATCCAAGACAAGGGGCTTTCCTGATGACCATGGGACCATCGTGACTCCATCAGGCCTTTTACCATCAGACCTATACAGTCCAGAAGGGACAGAACACCTGCAGCAGATAGAGCCCACTGTACCACTGAGTTGACTGATGAATGATGAAGATGGTGACCTTCACTGCATCTACAGCTCAAACCATGAGTAGCAAACATATTTACATGCCCACCACAATGACAAAAAGAGTGAGGGTGACACAATGGAACACCTAGGCAAAGACCCACAGCAATTCTAAATGTGGAATCATCCATTCTGAGGCCCAAGGACAAAAGGGGGAGAGCATTAAGCCACAACCCTGAGTGTGGGAAGGATACAGCCAGCAAACGAGCCCTTGGTGGAGGGTCAGGAGCACCGTTACACAATGAAGTGAAAGTGGCAGAAACATGTGGGAAATCCCAATCTCTTTGCAGTTTAGCAGTATCACCAGATAGAGGGGAAATATCAACAAGAGTAGCTGACCAATGATCAAGAGCACCTCCTGAACGGGAATCAAAGGAGACTTAAAGGCTCTCGGAATGGCAGAGAAAGCAGGAAAGGATACAGCAGCAAAGGCCAGGAAGGTAGATGGTGCCAACTGTACTGTACTCCTTAGTCTGGAGCCAAACATGATGAGATACAGAGAGGGACACATTACAGATACCACTAACAATAGAACAGAAAGAAGAGTCATACTCATGAAGGGTAGAGGAGAGAAAGCAAGGAGCAGTTCATAGGAGATATAAAAGTATACATTGACAAAAATATAGTTATGATAGTAATTAATAAAAGTGTTACTAATGATAAGTAATATCAATGTACAATGATATGAACACATTCAATAAAAGTTAATGTATAAAAGCTATGGCATGTAGAAGAAATCTCATTTCAATAAAAAGTGGAGCAGAAACAAGTACACAAACTATTAATGCTCATAAACAATACAACATAATATACAATACAACAATGAATGATTTATAATTACCAAAATAAGAATAATAAACCAGAGGAAATCATCATAATGCTGCATATTGTATAACAACTAACAATAGAAATAGTAAATAAATACTGAACATTACTTTACTGTAAATAAACATCATCAAAATTAGAAAAAATTGCCCTGCTGCAAAAATGAAAACAAATTACCGAACAAGAAGTCTCCATTATTCTTGAAGGTATTAAAGTTAACGAGAGAGAGAATTGATGCCATAGTGTTAATATAATGAAGAAAGGAAACGATCAAATGTGTTTGTGTAGAAGTGAAGGTGTAGTAGAGAATGAGTATGATGTGGTGAATTGGAAATACGCACAAAAGAATTGAAACAATTCCAAACAAAAATGAACAAAACGAAAAATAAAACGAATTGAAAGAATGAAGTACGACCATGAAAATTACAAGAAAGCAATCCATTTTACGTAGTATTATAGTTTAAGATTTAAGAAGATAAAAATGAAGGACGAGGTTTAGTAGCTATAGGTATTACTTGTCTTCTCTCTGCCTCTTTAATCATTTCTCGTACTAATTTTATGAAGTAGAACCATCTCAGCATCAATTTTACTATAGACTCTCCTCCTTTGATTGACTGGGCTGCATCAATGTCTCCTTCAACTGGTTTCAACTGATACTTTTCCATTAAAATACGAACCATTTCCAAGTGACCGCTCAAACAAGCAAAATACAACAGACCTTTAGAGTCATATGTTTCTAAATAACGATTGCACTTCAGTTCATTTAAGTAATGTAATACCAGTCGCATGTTACCAGCTTGACAGGCAGCATGAACACCAGTGAATCCATTACTGTCTTTGTCT